TAAAACCAGCCTGGTCAACCAGCTAAAACCAGCCAACCAGCCTAGGCTGGTTTAAGCTGTTTTTTTCTCAGTATGGTATGGAGACATAAATGAAAATAATAATAATCATCAAATCTAATAATCGCTTTTATAATTATTATTATTATTATAACCTTTATTTTACCAGGAAAGACACACTGAGATTAAAAATCTCTTTTACAAGAGCGTCCTGGCCAAGATTAGGCAGTACAAAAGTCACATGAGTCCAACAGACAACAAACAAAAAAACAATTTACAGTTAACGTGAATCACACTGACAACTATTCAAAACATCTACAAACCTGAGTTTCAACTTCTAAATCTTTTATAGTCTTTTTAAAAGCATGTAGTGAAATCAAGTCTTTGAACTGCAACTGTGTTTGCAGATTATTCCAAGCAAAAGGTGCTGCGTACTTAAAAGCTTTTTTTCCCATCTCAGTCCGCACTTTAGGGACAGATAGTAAATAAATATATTGTGACCGAAGACCATAGTTAAGAACAGGCTTTTTACAAATGTAATTCTGGAGATATGATGGGAGTAAACCCAGTATAGATTTGTAAACAAGAATATGAAAAAGCTTGAATGGCCTACGAATGGACAAAGCAGACCAACCTACCCTAGTATACAGCACGCAATGATGAGTAAGGGATTTAAAATGAGTTATAAATCTTAGTGCACCATGCATTATATTATAGAATAATAAGCAGTCATTCTGTGGTGCAAAATCTCACAAGCGGCTGTTTGTAGAAGAACCTGTAGATGGCGCTCTTACAGACAAGCAGATTTTCTTTATTTGGCAAAAACATTATTTTTTATTGATCTTTAATAGAGTGGAAAACTATTACATCCATTTGTATGCAAAAACCCGGAAGCGAGTTAGCATTTTAGCCGTTCCGGTTCCCTCGTCCCAAAGTCAATGGGTTTTTTGAATGGGACTTCAGTAAAATTACTTAAATAATAAGGTCTGAGGCTAACACAAACTCAAGATACTTACACGTTTTATCCTACAACATAAAACACATCAGTTACATCAAACTCTTGAGTTTTTTAAATGGGTTACGCTTCTTTAAAAAGACGTTGCTATCAAGTTGCTAAATGGGACTACAGGCGGTGTCGGAGACATTATAGAACAGCTTCTTTGCCATTCCAGATGACTTCATTATTAATTCCAGATGACTTTATTATTAATTCCAGGTGACTTTATTAATTAATCAGTTATTTGAGTCATTGCAGAGATGTATGGATGCAGTCCTCCAAGCTCATGATGGAGTCAGACACAATATTCATTCTTTCTCCACTGCAGCACGACTTTATATTCTATACTGGACATTATTTCTGTTAAATGACAAGACTTTTGTCTAAGCAAAGTCAGACCTTACTGTCCTAATGAAATAATTAAAAATCAAGGCATTATCATATTTTATTTTGCTAAAAATAAGTGTAATCTAGAGGCCTTTGCCTTTCATATAAGCCACTTCTGATCCCAAATGATCAACTAGAAGTCAAGATATTATTTGTTGTTCCTAAAACTTGGATAGGCGACAAGACTTTTATCAGGTAGTGTATTAGAAAATAAGAAGTGTGTGTTTTTGTGATACTAATGTGCAATGACAGCTCAGTCTGGTCTGGAAGGCAGGATAACTCTGGGTGTGTGTGTGTGTGTTTCTAGATTACTAATGAAGCTGAATGTGTGAGCACCGCAGGAGGAGAGTCTGCCGGAATGATGAGCATCTCCTTGGAGCTCGCAGAGGAAACAGCTGTGAAGTAGGAAGCTTCCTCCTGTCCTATTTTTCTTAAAAAAGGAAAATAAGATATTTAGTAAAGGGGTGGGCTGTTTAAATTTGTTTGAAATACTATTCTTTTAAAATTTGTCAAATAGCATAGGACTGGAAAATGACCAGCTAAATCCAGCTATAACCAGCTTGACCAGCCTGGTTTAAGCTGGACATAGCTGGTTTTGGCTGGGCTTTCAGCCTGGCTAGGCTGGTCAAGCTGGTTTTAGCTGGTCATCTCCCAACCTGACCAGTTAAGACCAGGCTGAAAATGGCTGGAAACCAACCTGGAAATGGCCAAAACTACTCTAAAACCAGGCTGGACGACCAGGCTGGTTTAAGCTGTTTTTTTCAGTAGGGATCCCACAGATCTCGCCTCACAGACCACCATATTATGTCTGTAATGAAAATAGCCATGGTAAGGGACATTACACCTATAATAGATGAGATTGTTACTATGAAAAGATTCAGGGTGTCTGGTAAGAGTTAAAAACTCCTAGTTTTCTTAGCTTTGACATATATGCCTAGTGCAAGTGCCCTTTGGAGCAAAATTTCTTACCATTAATTTTTAAATAGGCCACTATTTATCTATAATAGCCTACTAATAAATATATTGCTTTATTTTTCCCTTCTTAAATGTGCTGTTTAACAGTTTTCCTCCTACTGTACTGTTTTATGCTTATATTGGTTAGAGACCATATTTCATGTTTTGATGGAGATAAAACCTGCTGTGACACAAATGTGGACCAAATTAAAATTAAACCTGAAACCTTGCTATTTTGATAAATGTCGTTTAATGAAGTGTTATAGAGATGTAATACAGTTGTTAATACACTTTTATTTTCTCCAATAAATACATTTTAAAAGTGTGTATGTACGGCCCCTAACTTTATTCACAACACTCAGGCCCCGTTTACACTAGTGCGTTTTAGTTTTAAAACGGCGTTTTAGAATGAAAACGATCCGCGTCCACACTCGCGTTTTATCCAGCGTTTCTGAACTGCTCTCCGTCCACACCAAAACGCTGAAAACGCACATCACGTGACCACACAGACACTCTCGGGCAAGCGCTGCAGCCCATCTACCCAGATGAGAGCTCTGCTAGTCGGACTCCTCATCAAGCATCTCCCGCTGGATCTAATCTCACTATATTTATTAATCGGGATATTTCATTCATCTTGTTGTCTTTATCTAACGACATATTCCCTGACTTTGGTCATTGGAATCTATTCAGTTACTTTTTCTCAGGTAACGTGTTTTGGCTGAGCGCAAAGATAAGTTAATGATTAATGTAAGCACGTAGCCTATTCTGTATATTGACTGATCGCTTGCCTTTATTTCCCATAATGTATAAACTTATTGTATGTTATACTTTTATAATGGCCATTATCGATTATTAAAACTGATATTGAGCAAAAGAGAGGGTGTGTTTCGTATTTTCACTGAAATTGAAAGGAGGCAGTTGTCATTGGCTCCGTTTTGTTATAAATATTCACACAGTGAAGATGACACTCATGCAGCACGACGCCTCAACATTTCTGCTGTCTGTTTAGTTGTTAATATTAAAATGAAAATAGGCAGTTCCTTAAATCATGTTTACATTTTATTGTTGAGAAAGTGAAACAACGTGGCCAGGGTGATGTGAATGAAGTTATAAAGTACACTGTTCCCTTTGAAGATTTACCCGTGTCCTCGGTATAGTCTGTTGTCCATATCAAACTGAGAAGAAGAGACTGCAGCCTTGATCAAACTTGCGAAGTCTGAACTTACAAGGAGAGAATGCAGGATTGAACTGTGTGTGTTAGGTTACTTAATATTCAGGAAAAGCCCCAATCAGAGACGCGAATGTCTGCAGCCCCGCCTCCGTTTTCAGATGTCTCCGTTTTCCATCATCCACACTGACGCCTGTTTCACACCGCAAGCGTCAGCGGCGCGTGAGCAGAGCGTGAGCAGCGCGTGTGTTTTCGGCGTCCATGTTAACAGATTAGAGCTTTCATACCGCACGCAGCAGCAGCGCGTCAGAGCGAGGCGTGAGCGTCGCCGAAGCAGCAGTGCAGCGATAGTTTCGGCGCTGGGTCTATTTTTGACGCGCTGCTCACGCTCAATTAAAGTGACAGAGCATTGAGAATGACCAAAACACATTGAATGACAGTAAAAACTAACAATTTTACCCAATAAATGCGTTAATAATGTCAAATGGTTTATATATAGTCATTCAAATGAACTTAAAACGATTAAAAACGGCAACAAACATTTATTTAGGCCCGAACTACAAAACCAAATGTAAAACTATTTTACTATCAGTTTTGCTTAAGTTGCACACTAGTGTTGTAGGAGAGGGGAAATGGAATATTTACGGGATTTGTAGTCCATAGCGAAGTGTATTGTGGGTAGTGTAGTGCGACACGCATGCTGGATTATGTGAGCTCGCTGTGTTCTGTGCAGCTGAGCAGAGCAAGAAAGTTTTAATCGGCTTTGTTTTATGTTCACTCGAATTATTCCTACCGGGAGCTGTTTGCACTGTGAATCTGACAACACGAAAATAAGTAAAAGAATGGCATGCATTAATTACTTTTGTCCGTCTCATCATCTGCACGAGCATGAATTAACGAGCTGTTTTTCTGCCGCTGGACATCACTGAAGCGGATAAATTAACACTAGTTTGATCATGTATAAATATCATTATAACTACATTGTATAAATATGATTATAACTAGGTCTACAGCAACCTGATAATCAAAAAACAAATGACATGATATCACAGGCGATTGTCTTCTGACTGTAGACAATTCTCATATAAGTTAGCTTTAGAAGCATACAGTACTATTTGATCTATAAAATTTGTAAAATAAACATTTGCAGGTTAATGAAACAGCATAGGAGGGGCCTTGGTACAGATGAAAAGTTTAAAAAGTGTATTTGTATATAGAGAGACATGGGTAACTAGATAGAATAGACAGAGATAGGTTGATCTCAGCAGCAGCTGCCGAAGAGCTGCGCGCTGCAGACGCAGCTGGTGTGAAAGGCAAACGCCTGCGTGCTGCTACTGCTCGACATACGCGCTGCTCACGCTCTGCTCACGCGCCGCTGACGCTTGCGGTGTGAAACAGGCGTGAGACGGAGCAGCAGCGTTTCAGAATGAAAACGGCCTCTTCAGCGTTTTCGAAACGCTCCGTTTTCGGCGCTCGAGAACTCCGGCGTAGTGTGGACGGTTGGCATAACCGTAGCAAAACTAATGCGTTTTCAAACTAAAACGCATTAGTGTAAACGGGGCCTCAGTGCGGCCCTTACCAAGTTTGGATTTGACACCTCTGCTCTAAATCATAAATGAATAGATGGAAGCCTATTTTTGCCTAATAAGAAAAAAATCAAGCCTTAAAAATGTTTTTTTTTTATTGAAGTTGTGTTTTACTTTGTGAACTGTGCTCTCTTTTTGTGTCTGTCTGTAGGCTGGTTGGAAATGTGAGTGGTTCTGCGGTGCTGTGGCGTGTTGGTGCGTCTGGTTATGAGCAGTGCTCGGTTGCTGACGGCACGATCATGTGGTTCCAGCAGAGCTCTGAGGGTCTGGTGCTGCCCGATCAGTCCCTGCCGCTGGGGCACAACTACTTCATCAGTACGTCTGCATTCTCACCTGTGTGTCTGTTATGTGGTGGAAGTGTTCTGCAGATATGCAGGCACACTTATTGGCTGTTTCTCAATATGCATTTTTCAGCCGTCTTGTGTCCTCGTGTTCTCTTGTAACGTCATCATCAGCTGCCAAAGTTCAGTTCCAATACACAAGACCGCAAGAACAGAGGACGCGTGAAACTTCCTGGATGTGTTCTTGATATCGAGGACGCATCGATGCAGACTTGAGCACCGAATTTGCTCTAGAAGTCCCAGAAGTCATTGCGACTGGAGGACTCAATAAAAAGAGCTGCGTTTTATTTAGATTTATTATTAAAGTTCAGAGATGTAACTCATTTACTTCAGGAGTTTCCCTAATTGAAACGGTGAATATAAACATCACCATGGACATCTTAATAAAGGAATGAACACATTAAGGCTGTTTGTTTGCTGAAATTCGTATTAAAACCTTTTTTATTTGTATTGTGCAACGTATATTGATAATGTTTTTATGCAGAGTATATATTTTAAAAAGGGGGAAAACAGTAAATCGTTAAATGAATGCTGTAATGTTTAAATAATATTCCATTAAAAACACATGAAGGTCATGTGACCATCAGGAAGAACACAGCATCTCATTTATCACAGGACGTGTCCTCTGTCCTCGCGGTCTCCTGAGTTCGTTCTTCCGAGGTCTCCACAAGAACGCAAGTCCGTACTCTGCATTCTTGGAATTGCAGCCACTGCCTTTGAAACATCCTCATGTATAATGTCTGTTTCTAAATTGTTTGCATCTCTGAGCTATTCTAGACACTAATGAGGGAATTTTTCTTTGGTTCTGTGCAGCAAACAAACTTTGTCCTTGAGCGCCACTGCAGTCTGTGTGCTTGTGCGTCTGTGCACAACTGTTTACTCATCTGTTTGTGTTTATATCTGAGATTCTCAGTTGTTTATTCTGATTTTTATGACAGTTAAACAAATTAAAAGTAAAGGAGAAAATAAGAGTACAAATAGAAAAATTATGAAAATTACCATATTTATACAAATATGGTATATAAACAGGTCAGTACTGAAAGTTGAGGTTGGCAGCATGCCGCATTAGGTAAAATTAATAATAATTATAAAAGAAAAAAAGAAAAGAAAATTTAAAAAGAGACACACAAATGGAAAAATATATTAAAGTGAATAAACTTGTTCTTCAAACTTATGGTTTTACTTCAAGAAAGGGTTGTATGCTTGTGCTAAAGGCACTAGTACTCATTTAAAAGAGTTTGGTTAAGATTACCCTAACATATAACCCAACCAAAGGTTATTATGGCACCTATCCAGCTATGGGTTATTTTTACCCAATGCATTGGGTTCTAAAATTTAACCCAGTGCATTGAGTTATTTTCATTAAATGTAATTTTTTCCATTCTGTTATTACTATTGCTACTATTACTAGTACTTTTATTAATTCTATAATTATGGCTGTGTACATAAATAACATGCAAAAATATTTAAAATGCTTTATTTCCACTATACATTTTGAGTTCCAGACACAACATTTTTATCTATTTGATATAGATCGACTATTAAACGCGAGTTTGTATCATCAGTAATTAAGAATGCTGGTGAAACGGATATAAAAATATGACACAGAAAGGTAAATCGATAAAAACAACAATAATATTGTGTTAGAGCTTAAATAAACGTTATAACGCAAATACAACATTACGCATACATGTTAATACAGCTGAACCAAAGAGCATAGAATCACCAAGAGGCGACACTCCAGTGTAATTCGAGAAACAGCCACTAAATGGCGCGGCGGCCATTTTGGAATGAAAACTGTGGAAAACTGTGGAACATTCCAAAATGGCGGAATCCAGGGCTGTTGCTGGGGGCCAAAGAGCTTAGAATGACCAAGAGGTGACACTCAATAGAACGTTCCATTGCAACAGCATCGCAACAACAGCCCCGGATTCCGCCATTTTGGAGTGGAAGCGATCGGCTGTCCATTGGATCTTATTGCTGTCCCGATGGCAAGCAGCTGCTTTGTTTTTTATTTATTTATTTGAAAAGCGCATTAAAGCTGAGATACAACCTGAAAGACCACAATACAACACTTACCATCACAATCATCAGCACTTCTATTAGTTTTCTTACAGACTTATCCCTGCTGAAAAATCCAGCTTAAACCAGCCTGGTTTAAGCTGGATATAGCTGGTTTTGGCTGGACTCCCAGCTTGGCTAGGCTGGTCAAGCTGGTTTTAGCTGGTCATCTCCCAGCCTGACCAGCTAAGACCAGGCTGGAAATGGCTGGAAACCAGCCTGGAAGTGGCCAAAACCCCTCTAAAACCAGCCTGGTTAACCAGCTAAAACCAGCCAACCAGCTTAGGCTGGTTTAACTTGGATTTTTTAGCAGGGTAATAAGCTGTTGTTCTGTTGGGGTTTTCATTCCAAAATGGCCGCCGCGCCATCTAGCGGCTGTTTACTAAATTGCACTAGAGTGTCGCCTCTTGGTGATTCTATGCTATTTGTGGGCGATGCTGTTGCAATGGAACATTCTGAGTGTCGCCTCTTGGTCATTCTAAGCTCTTTGGCTGTACTGTGTCAATTAAATCTGTTGAAATTCAAAATTTGTAACCTAACTGGTTGAGTTATTTAATAAACAACCCAAAAATAACCCAACAAAGCACCAAATATTTAACCCAACTGGTTCAGTTATTAAAAAATAACAGAATAATGGTTACAAATAGTAGCAAGCACATTGCAAAACCCCGGCAGCCGTCCTGGTGGCTCCACTTACTTTTTTAAATCAACTTATTCTTTACGACTATTGATTCAGTTGTTATTTTCCCTCCACACACTGTAGGTGTTCTTCATGTTGGCTCTCCCTCTGGTCCAGAGGTCACTTTGAGGCTTCATCTCCTGGTCAAAACCAATAACTGCATGGAGCCCGGCAGTGCATTCAGTGACCCACAATGCTCCGGGAAAGGCAAATGCGTCACCCAGTCCTCCGTGGTAATGACCTCACATCATAATGAGCCTTATTTCCTCTTTTTAGTGAACTGAATCTGTGCTGCAGTTTTCCTCTCAGAGGTGCTGATTTAACAGCTGTGTTTTCTGTCACCCGACTGGCTCACAGGACACCTTTTACTGTCGGTGTGATGATGGTTATTCTGGGATCTTCTGCGAGGAGTTTGATGCCTGCCATCTGAAGCCCTGTGAAAACAACGGCTCTTGTGCTGACCTCAGACAGAGAGATGAAGGACAAAACTACACCTGTACCTGCCAGACAGGTGTGTCTCTGTGTGTAGGCCAAGACAGAATCTGCGGGCGCAGAAATCTGCAGGTTTCTTCAGATTTTGAGCCCATCATTAGCCCCTTTCACACATACAGACCTTTCCGGAAAATTGCCGGCAATTTTCCGGAAAGGTTGTATGTGTGAACAGGTCCTTTTTGAAAATACCGGTAAATTCGTTCTGGCTATTTTCCGGAAAGAGAAGTTGTAACATTGTTGTGAATGCAGTGTGAATGCAGAAGGAAGATTGCCGTAATAAGCGCGTGCACGTCTAGAACATGCTGACGTGAGACGTCTGCTTTAGCCAATCACAACAGTCAGACGCATTTACGTCCGCGCGGTTTGTGAGAATAAAAGCCTTTCAATATTTTCCCAGACACATTTAGCTGCTAGAAGTTAGTCAGATCACGTTTATATGTTCTTCTTAATGCCAACTGTGCAAATAATCATCGATGAGATGCTTATGATAAGCCGTTGTTTGTTTACCTTCAAGCTTTGCGTGTGCGTGCCTGTGAAACAGCCTGTGAGCGCCAGCACACGCACATATTATGAATATCTCGACATGAGAAAGTGATCCTGCGAAAGTTGTTCACAATATTGATCATCCACAGAGTTTGTAATTTAGTCTAATGTTTACAAATACAAGCGCAGCCGTTTAAAGCTCATTTGTGGTGAATGATGTCAGAATTTACCGGTATTTTGAAATGAATGTGTGAATGCTCTTTTCCGGAAAATTTCCGTAACGTCCTCGCCTGTGTGAACAGCGCTTTTTTGAACATACCGGTAAAGTCGTTCCGGAAATTTTCCGGATATTTACCGGTATCACTGTGTGAAAGGGGCTATTGAGTCTACTTATTTACTTGTGTAAAAGTGTGTATATTTATTCTGTTTTAAAATTATTTTCAGTAATATTATTGTCAAAAATGAAAATGTTAA